TCTCCTCCTTTTTAATTTTTGTAGTTAATTTTCGAATTTTTCTCCTGTATTTCTCCTTTTTTCGTTCGTTCTTTCGTTTTTATTATTACTTATGCTGTGTTTGCATTTTCAATTATCCTTTTTGCCATTAAAATACCAAAACAACAAACGCCACAAATCAATGCAAATTTTATTCAAAACTCATTTTGTCATCTTCGCTTCAATGAACCAGTAAATTCCTCCAATGCATTCAAARCATTAACCAACATACTTCGACTACAGAAATTTTTACCAAATAAATATCAAGATAAAGTTGTCTGAACTCAGTGTAAAATTAGAAGAAGTCGCTGGACCAACTTTGACTTGCAGGAATATTCRAAGATTCTCATGAAAAACAAAGGTATAGTGTAATCTTAAGTTCCTGTACGCAATGTAATCTTTCATCTGAGAAGCATAGCTCAAAAATTTAATATAAGCTCAAGAATTACTCGACTCCTTTACTAATATTAATCAAAAGGTTTGTTTTTGAATATTTTTTCGYCGAAAAAGACACTCGAGCAAACCAATATAAACACTAAAGTAATAACGTCGAACTGTATTTTAATATGTGATTTAAGACCACGTATATATGTGTTTAAACTACTTTCGTAAATTTTATCCACGGCCCTCTGGGAGAGCATTATTTAATAAAGGGATTCCGTGTTTGAATAAAGTTGCCATTAAAGTTACCATACCATCAATCTAAGATTAAAATGAGCAAAAATCTTTCAGAACTTAGAGAACAAAAAATAAGAAACAATAAGTATTAATTATCTGACTTCTCAAGAGCAAAGTGGTCAACCCCGTCCAAGCTTTTGTTTGTAAAACGAAAATTTAGCATAGAAATCTTGTTTATTACATAAAATGAATCTCTTTCGTCTTAATTTTTTTTAAATTTAAGGTATGGAATACCCTGGGCAAAGAAACCGAGAGAAATTCGAAGTGGAAGATGTTAAATACGAGGTATTAAAGCAAGCTGCTCATTTTAAAAAAACATTGAAATAATATGGACCTACATAAGGTTTAGAGTCTATTTGCAAGGAAGCAGCTCCATTGGCTATTGTTTTTTTGCGTGCCGAATGTTGGCATGCAGTTTTTCAACCTCGATGGTAGCAAAGATTAGTAACTACGTGTGACATTCCTCTATAGATGACACACATTTTCCTCCGATGGAAGGAATCGACCTGACATTCTTTTCATTTGTGTTTATGTTGCTTGCTTGCTTGCTTTTTCCTTGCTTCTTTTTTTTGTTAACTTCCTTCCTTCAACATCCTCCATGATCGTTAAACAGGCTTTCTTTTTCCACAGAAAGCAGCTGAGAGACTTTTGTTCGGGTCGGGTATACGTACTGCAATAGTGCTCATATCATTGATAACCATTCTACCCATCGGGATAGTGGCACTTGTGTTTTGGATAAGAGTAAGTAGTACAAGAACATGCTATCTACCTATCCATCCATCCATCCATCCA